ACTGCACTAGAACGAAATATACGTTTACCATGCAAGGGCTTAAAAAATTGTAACATTTTTAATAATATTTTATTAGCAAAAAAAGCTACAAATAGTACATGATGTCACTTTATTTGCTCTGAATTTTTGTGAAGGAAGGGGGTCATTTTTATAAACAACAAGGGAAAGAAAACAGCAATCAGCCTGATTCATATATTAATAATCATACAGAAGATAATTTAAAATCATTAGAGCTTATAGGAAAGTGGCTACTTAGTATAGCAAATACTGATAACAATATAAAAGCCAAGTTATTAAATGAAATAACAAAAGTGATTATGAATACATTTAAATCTAATTTTTCTAATCAAGTCAATAATAATAAATCTAGAACAGATTATATCGATCCACCAAGTTATCTTCTTTTAAAGATAGTATTATATATTCAAATATTAATATAAATAAACTTAATGATCAAACGCAATTCGAAGTAATGATTAATAAAAAAACCTGAGCAATTCAGTAAAGCATTTGGGCATTTGGTATGGAAATCAAGACAGGATATCAAAAAAAATCTTCATTATTTAGAGAACCCATCGTCACTTCAAGAATATAAAAATGGGTTTCTATTATCTATTAGATATTTTTTTAATGCTATAATTTATTATATACAAAATCAAAAATAGATTGTTGTACATAAAAAACAGCAACAACGTGAAATTATAATGACTAAATATGATTAAACAAGAGGTGACAAAATTTCGTTATTTATGATTTCAGTTTTATTGACTGTTGCATTTCCAAGTATTAATATATGGTTAATACATATATTAAGCTCCTTATGCCAAAAACCACATTATCAATCATCGTTATATGCTGTTTTATGTACAGCTAATGTAGTATCGCATACTTCTAGACATGAAAGATGTTTAGAAAAAATAAGACAAAAAGAAATAGACCCTTGTCAAAGGTTATGGAGAGGCGATAATATATTAAATTTATGTGTTATGGACAATATAGATTTTAAAGAAAAAATATTTACATATGATAACATATTTGATGCTACAAAAAAAACTTTGCATTGTATTATTCGAATAGTTATTCAATTTAAATTTCCAAAATCTTTGTCAGAAGTAATTTCAGAAAATATTTTCAACACTAATGTTGATACAAACTTTAACGTTGGTACCTCATTATATACAGAGAAGGAATTATTACATTGTATTAAAATATTTGATAACCTTCTTAGTGAAAAAGATTCAGATTTTGATATAAAAAATATTATTCAAGAATATGAAAAGAAATTGAATCAGATTGTAATCTTCCAATACCAAATATCATAATTTTAAGACCAGGTAATAACACAAACAAAACTAAAAATGTATATGATGCTGTGTGTATGTATATAGATGATATTGGTCTTAATTTTAATAAAAATATTTATTTGGCTGCTGATGAAGCAATTTTTAGATGTTTGGTTTCTTTAAATGAAACATATCCACAATTTTGTTTTTTATTAGGTGGTTGGCACACTAGCAAAAATATATATATAATACTAATTTCTATATTTTCTGGATATAGAATTTTCAATTTGGCTTTGATTCTTGGAGTACATTATTTTGACAAATTTAAAAAAGTAGTTAATTATCAGGCTGCATCATGAGTAATGATATTATTGTGGGCTGGAGTAGGGATTGCACTTCAAAAATATCTTAAAAGCCGTAATAAAACTGCAAATGATATTATGCTAGATAACAACAATGTTGTAAAGGTTTGGTATTTATTTTTTTGTTAAACAGGATACTGGATAGGACATAAAATGGGTATTAAACATGGTAATTAGAATATGCAGATTGAAAATTTAAAAGCATTTGCTCCACTTTTTCCAGTTGCAGAACATAACAACTATGCTCAGTCTGTTACTTTTTTTCTTAATTGTTTAAATCAAGATAAATCATTAAAAATT